GTGGGGTGGGGTAGGGAGGTGCCCTCATTGTGTCCAAGGACGGGGAAACGTGTGAATACACAGCATATGGTAGATTGCAAAAGGGATTATTTTCCAGTAAAGCATGTGTCATCATGCTCTGTATCCTGATATAACAGGGCAGAAACAGGCCTCGGAGGCTTGAGAAACATTTATGGGAGGAACACTTCAACATTAACTGGGAAGTCAATAGGTTGAGAGAAGGCTATGATTTTCCTTTTTTTTTTTTTTTTTTTTTTTTTTTGAGTTGGTGTCTCACCCTGTCGACCCAGGCTGTAGTGCAGTGTCACAGATGACTCTTCCACCTCATCCTCCTGGTAGCAGGGACTACAGGCACGCACCATTACACTTGGCAAACTTTTTTATTTTTTATTTTTCTAGCGATGACGTCTCGCTGTGTTGCCCAGGCTGGTCTTGAACTCCTGTGCTCACGTGATCCTCAGCCTTCGCAAGTGCTGGGATTATAGGTGTGCGCCACCATGCCTGGCCTGTTTTCCATTTTAGAGTCAGAGCATCTCATTCCAGCTTCTGAGAGGTGCATCTGGCCGGGTACAAACCCAAGGTATCTGGCAAGGAGTTAATGCGTGTCAGAGGCTGTGAGAGGCACTCGGTTTGAATCAAACCCAACTCCACCTTCCCGGCTTGTGCAGCTCCAAGCAGTGATCTCATTCCTCTTTGCCTTAGTTTCCTCATCTATTAAATGGGGATTAGAAGAGGCCCGGATGTCACCCAGCTGTTGTGTGAAAATGGGCCGAGTGTATTGTTAGTCCTTTAGAATTGTGCCTGCCACAAAGTACACCCTCAGTAACATTCACGTACTAATACCGCCATCACCACTGTCACTGCTACCCGGCTCTACTACCATGAAATGAGAAGGAGAGAACAATGAAAATACTTTTAATTAGCAAACCTAAGAGGTAATGAGGGCCTGAATGAGATGCCAGAACACACGGACAGATTGCAGAGGTAATGGAGATAATGAATCCGTAGAACTTGGCCTGAAATCCCCCAGGGACATGATTTAATTGGTCTGGGGTGGGGCGCTATCTCCCCTTTAAGTGCCCGGTGACTCTTGGGGCAGCCAGTGTGGAGGGTTGTCGCTGTAACTGCAAATGGCAAGTAGAAGCAAAGTGGATGGGGGAGCTCGGGACACCCCCGGTTACCAGGTGTGG